GACAATTTGGGACGATTCTCCGAGCCCCGCGCCTCGTTTCTCTAATCGTCGACAATCGATAACTATAAAAACGAGCCGCTTAACTATAAAAACATCCCCTCTCTTCCCGAATCGTCCATTTCTGTGCACAATCCGAAATTTCGGCAGAATTCACTGTAAATCCGGTGAACAGCTTCTTCGAAGCGATCCGATTCAGGGCGCAATTAACGGTTTCGCAAGCAGAGATTCGACTCGCGTGCGGCCGAACAAAAGCCGCGGTCTTTTCCCCGATTTTCTGGCCGTCGCGCGACGGATGCGTTGCGCAACGCGGACGAACGGACAGCCGCGGAGAGACGCGTGTTCCCGCGGAAAGCGGCCGCGCTTCCGCTCGGACAATGGCGATGCGCCAAGCTGACGGGGACCACGCGATCAGCGCGATTTTGATCGGTTGATCAGCATTTTGACCGACCGATTTTCATCGGTTGATTTCGAGCGGCAATTTTCCTTCGATATCGGCGCGAACTTTCCGGACAAAGGCGTTATCGTCAACGAAAAACGGACGAAAAATAGGCGAATAACGGGCGAAACAAAGCCGTGAGGACGAAAAGAGTCTTCGCCTGTCGATTTGCAACAGATCAATGCCACTTTTGCAGACGCGTCCCTTCTTTCTCCAGAGAGAAGACACCTAGAAGCCGCAGGGAGCTCGAATCTAACGCTAAATCCAAGCTCGAATCTTCGTCGGGCGAGCTTCGAACGGTCGCGAGCGACACGAAAACTTGAACGAGACGAGCAACCAGAAAGAAACGGCACGAATACAGAGTATCCACTTCGCGGCAGTCGAACGCGAGCGTGCACAGCGCGAGCCGCGCGATAAGTGCGAGAAGTCCGTTTGTCCGGCGCGTCGTTTCATTCCGCGCGGTAAATAAATATTTAGCAAAAGAAACTGTTTGCCACTTATTATATTGATCTTTCGCGGCATTGTCAATACGACAGACGGAGGACACATTCAGAGGGCGGGACGGGGACTGAAAGGCCCCACGAACGTTCCGCGTCGCGCCGCAGTGAAATCCGGCCGCGCGTTTTTCTCCGAAAGCGAATCATTGGCCGGCAGATTATTACACGCGAGAGCACAGAGTGCGGAAAAGCTGCGGAGAAACCTGCGGAGCTGATGGCCGCGTTGCGACGAAAAAAGAGCGCCTGAAAGGGTTCGAGGATTTTAGAAGCATTTGTTGCACCGCGGATTTATTCGGGTTCGCGACGGAATTATTCGCTTGTCCGGAAAGTTCGTCGATTTCGGCCGATTTCGAGGACGGATTGAAACGCGAGAGATCTCAATTTTAGCGTATATTTGTTATATTATGCAGGTTTCGTTCTGTTCCACAAGCTTTCTCCATGTTTCGGGCAACTTGAAACAACAAAATTCCATTCTTCCAGAATTTCTCAGATTTTTCAGCGAGGAACTTCTCTACGTGATCGTTTATCTTGACCAAAGGGTCGAAGGTTTTTCCATTAAGGGAATTTCGTGACGATCGAAATAGGTGGAAATCAGAGGGTCAGGTCTGCTGAACGTAGTGGACTGGGTAGAACATTCCAACACCGAGCTCCAACAACTTTCGTCGAGTTATCAAAGACACATGGAGCCGCGCAATTCGTTCCCTTGCATATTCAAAGGCGTGCAAAACTGACAGAAATCAACGTATCGTAACCAGATTTCTTTCCAAATGTGCCTGAAGGTACCGCCTTTCGCGATATGTACGCCTGTCGTTTCATTTCAATCGTTCTGACGTATTCAGACCTGTCCATCTACGAAAAATCGGCACGAACTTTTGCGGGCAACCCAATATTATACTGCAAATATTATACTGTATTATCTTGTATGCACCGTGCATCGACGAAGTAGAAGCCGATCTATTGTCACGCGAGTATTGTCTTGCTACCAGGGCGATCGCTTTTTTAACGTTCTTGAGAAGGATTTAGCCGCAGAATCGCAGTCGAGACGGAACAAAGAATCTTCGAATTGAAGCGAAGATCCGAGGCCAAACGCGAGCGTTTGACAATTAAAAGCTGATACCAGCGAACAGAACGATTTGCCTCGGTCTGACGTTAATAATCCTGACGGTTTATTAACTGGTCGAGCACGTGATCCGAGTCGGTTCGGATCCTGATGTAACGTGTAATTTCCTTTGTCACGCTCGTATCTACGTGGAAGTTCAATTTACATTGGAAACGCGGTGGTCGACGATCGGGAAGACAGCCGCGACCGTGTTCGAAACGCGCCGAATTTTCCGTCGCGGGTTCGTCGCGTTTTAATTTCGGCATCGACGAGTTCGACGAGTTCAACGAATTCAACGAATTCGACGAGTTCAACGAGTTCGACAAATTAGACTAATTCAATGAATTCGACGAGTTCAACGAGTTCGACGAATTCGACTAATTCAATGAATTCGACGAGTTCGCGAATTCAACGAATTCGACGAGTTCGACAAATTCGATGAGTTCACGAATTCGACGAATTAACGAATTTAACGAATTCGACGAATTAAACGAATTCAACGACAAGTCAGCGCAGTTCATTTCCGAAACGCTTGCGATTCGCCAGGAATCGCGTCAAGGCATGCTAGATTATGATTCGACGAGCGAGAACGAACTCCGAGCTTTCCCGATGGATTCTCGCGTATTAATTTGCGAAATGGCACGGTTTTTCGCGTGCTTTCTCTTTCCTCCAATCGAAAGACCGAGCCGCATTCCCTTGGCCGCGTAGGCGTCGCTTGTCCGCCGCGAGGAAACGCGAGCCCTTCCAGTTTAATTCGATTTTAATTGACGTTTGACGCGGGCAAGCGAGCCGCGTATTAATGAATTAACATAGAATACACACGGTCCGCGCAGAAAAGCTTCGGTTTCGTTTAATGAATGGCCGAGTTATCGGCCGCGGCGGGGATCCGATCACGACCTTAATGAACCCGCCCCTCGGTTTCGGTGCCCCGATGCCTCCAATCGATTCGATCGAGCGACGACGGCGACGTGAACGATCCGGCGCCGATTTTTGCGCGGCGCGCGGGGCCGGAAGCCGCGCGATTGAAGCGTTTCCTCGAGGAACTTCGTTAAATCGACCGCGATCGGACGCGGAAACGTCCGTCGAATCAATCTAAACCTCGGCGATCGTTCCGAACTCGGAATCGACGGCGAATCTCATCGATCGCCGGAATTACAGAGGCACTCTGATCACTTTGAAACTGCGTTCGCGCGCGCGCTGCACCAAACAGCCTCGTAAATCCGCCCGTATCTCTCGCACGACTGTTATTCCGAGCCTCCAATGATAAACAATCCAACAACGAAGAAACGTCTGCGGAGCCAATTTATCCGGCATCGCGGATAAATTGCGTGCGACAGGCTGAATAATTGACGCGCGGAAACTTCTCCCGCGGACGGTACCGTCGCGAACTTCTGCCGAAACGCGAGCTCTAGACGCTTCCGGGGAACCTTCTGGAAGGATTCGGCATCCGCGAATCGAAAGTGAATCGAAAGGTAGCCGAGACGACAACGCGTCCGATTCTTGAAGCCTTGAAGCTCGCTTCTTCGCGGCGCTTTCGCCATCGAATTTTCTAATTCGCCGGGAAGACAAGCTCCGAGCGATCCGCTCGGATCGTCGCCGGTGGACAGATAGATCATCCCGTTCGACGTGAAACGGAATGAACGGCTCTGTGCAACGAGAGGCGACGTCTAACAACGTCGTTGGCCACGATTGACAGCCGGACGAACGGCCGGCCGAGCGAAAACACGGCTCGCCACGTTAACAAACCGATCGTCGATTCGGGAAACGAATGTATCGCAGCCGATCCGGCCGGATGAATAAGCGATGGAACGGTTCTCTCGCGTGCCGCGCGTACGTCTTTCTCGGACGATCATTGGAATCGTCTGTACGATCATCGCGACGACCGACGCGAAGACCGCGGAAACCCGCGGAGTCGGAATCGACGCCGAAACGACCCGGTTTTTTCGCGAACACGCAACAAGTCCTGTCCCCGGACAACAATTTTCGAGATCCGCGACCTTTTTCGGGGTTTCTCTTGAATCGTGTCTCGCACGATTCGCAGGAACAGCGGACTTTGTCGAACGAATCTCGAGAGATCGACGAGAAGCGTGGCGTTGCAGAGGTTTGGCCTGGTTCGACGACGAATTTGCTCGCGTTTGCGAGGAATTGCGAAGGTTCGCGAAGATTTGCGAAGGTTTGCGAGGGGTCCTTGATCCCAGCCGTGCTCCAGGTCGGTCGGGCTTCGTTTTATCCGGCGCGAGGCGATAAAAGTTGCCGGCGCGTTCTCGGAAAAGCCCGGCTCGCCAGGAGCATGGGCCGCGTAACGAGTTTTTGAATATTCCCCAGGGCGCCAGGGAGGTCTGAACTATCTCGGTTGCAGCTTCTCGCTCCGGCCGAGGTTTCCGCGAATCAACATTCACGGCCTCGACTCGGGGCGAAGCTCTGTACCGAGAATATTCTCTGCGAGAAAGACTGCGGCACTCGATCGGACGGTGTTTAACTCTTTAATTGTGCTTCGGATTAATCGAAGGTGTTTCCTTTGAAAGACCCAAGGGTAGATCGCTACTTGGACGAGAGAGCTCGCGTTCCCGCGTGCCGTTTTCACTTGGAACGTTACGAGAAGATTACGGGAGAAACGGAACTGTCGGCGGTCCGTCGAACTTGGCCGGAGCACAGCTCGCGCAACGTTTGCACTTTGAACCGCGGTTTTCACACACCGGGGACCCCGTGGATCACTCCGAACGATACCTACTCCGTTCTACGAGGAACCCGCGACGATTCTACGTCCCGTACCGAGTCCCACGGGGACCGTGGCGAGAACGGAACACTGTCGCGCGTCGAGCGCGACCTTTTTCGCGAGCTCTCTCGAGAGCTCGGTATCGGGGCAATGAATCGCACAAGAACAACAACAACAACAACAACAACGGAGACAACACTGGACCGGGTTTCACTGTCGTTATCTTAGGTAGAGAACACTTGTCTGGCTCACCTGGTGGCGTGATCCCGTGGGGGTTCAGATGCGGATGATGGTGCGCGCTATTCAGGATCCCTTTGCCGGGCAGATGATGGGCCGTCGGGCCTGGCGAGCTGGTCGCCGGCAAATGGGCCGCAGGATTGTAAAAGCCGGCCGCCGCCAGGGTGGCAGCGCTGAAGTAGCTGGCGACGACCACCGCCGAGGACGGATGCGACAATTCCCTCTGGCTGGGCAACGGCGGCGGCGTTTCCGGCGCGGCCGCCGGGCTACCGGGTCCGCCGGGCGGCGGCGAGGCGCTGCCTTGGGACGACGAGCCGCCCAAGATCGGCGGATGGGTGCTGGCCGCGGTCAGCAACGAGGAGACGCTGAAGTCCGTCGGTCTCGGGGCGGCCGGGGCCGGCAGGTGGCCGCCGGTAATGTGTCCGTTCGGGTTCGCGGACGGCGGGCCGGCGATCGAGGTGGCGAATGGCGAGTGCTGATTCAGAGCCGTCGCTGACGCGGGGTACGCCATCCCAGGCCCCCCCGCCTCGGCCCTCGGCCCCGTGTTCGCACCCTCGACCACGTTAGCCTCCAATTCTCGTCTACGTCGTTGACCTTCGATGTCCTTCGCGGAGGAGTCCACTTCCTCCTCTTCCACCACCTCCTCGACCCGTGATCGCTGCTGCAGCGCGGAGGGTTGCGGAGTGCTGGCGCAGTGGGTACCCCTGCACGCCGTGTCTTGTTCGAATCTCATCGAGACGGGCCGGGTGTGCCGAGTCGCGCGAGATTCCTCTTCGAGTGACTCAAACTAGAGGGACGCTAAAATACCGAACCAAACTCTGCTCGTACTAGTATCGGTAACCGTCGACGAGTTCGCACTTGGGTTTAGTTAGCACTACTTCTCTTCGAAACACACTTCGTTGTCCGTCTTTTCACGAGCGTTCGTTTGCACCGCGGGATCAGCTGGCTGCCGCTTCGGACGCGTCCTTCGATGCTTTGTCACGCGGATAGTCCAATAGTCTTCGCCGGATTAGAGTCCTCAGTCACTCTGCTCGAGCATCGGACCCGTCAACCGCAACTGTTCGGCTCGTTCTCGGACATGTTTCCGCACGGACTAGACCAGGCCCGCTCAGGAGCGGATCCCGCGGTCCTCGCTGGCCTCCTCGCGGTCCCACTGAGGTCCTGCGATCGCCACGGGCCCCGTCGCGAACCCGCCAGAGAACATCGTACGTCGCGACGGGCCTTTTCAACTCAGCACTCTTTTCCTCGCTCTGCGGGAACTGCGGTGGACGAGAAGTGGCTTGCACTCCGAGTTCTGCGAGACACGCTTCTTTCTCTGTTTTCTTTTTTCTGATCGACCGGACGCGAGAGGCGGATATAGAGAGACAGACGAGAGGCAGAGGTAGAGAAAGGGTGTGGAGACAGAGCGAGAGACACGCGGGATACGGATGGATCGCCTCGGAACACGTCACGGACACGGATTTTCGGAGAGAGAGAAAGAGAGACAGAAGGAAGAAAGGTCCACTGGGCCACGTCCGAGGATTACTTGTGTATTAGATCGATTGATTCACTTGTGCTTCGAGTATCCTGCGTTCACTGTTGTTCACTGGGGCGCACACTTCTCGGGTGCTCACCTGGTCGATGTTCCGTGGGCACTCTGATCACCACACTGACGAAACCGGTGGGCGCGCGAGGACGCGGCCGACGAGGACGACGCGCGAGTAAACGGAGCGAGGCCGGCCGCGCGCACCGGCTCGGCGTGCTGGAGAGTAAACGGCGTCCGACGGCGACGGCGACGATCGACGGCGACGACGACGACGACGACGGCGGGCGACGACGACGACGACGACGACGACGGCGGCTACGACGACGACGAAGCCGGGGAGGACAGTTCAGTGTGCCGTGTGGGTATACCCGGAACGCGAGAGACGCAAGTGACAAAAAGGCGAGTGCGAGAGAGACACCGTGAGAGGAGAGAGAGAGAGAGGGAGAGAGAGAGAGAGCTCTAGAGAGGCTCGGCTGCTCTGCTGCTCCCGAACCTGGGCCGGAGAGCGGACGAAAGGTGTTACTTGGGTGGCGCCGCGATGGTCACTGAGCAGCGCTAGGATTGACACCTCCTCTGGGGGCTCACCCCCACACCTCCCGCGGAGGTGTTGGTGTGCTAAAGTCCTCGTCCGGATTCAGGGCGTGTGTACGCGCGGCTACGTGTACGGGCACGGCGGTGTGTGCGTGTATACAGACGAGCGGAGTGTGCCTGCGCCGACGAACGGACGCGGGAGGCGTGAATGCTGGAGGGCAGCGACGCGAAGACTGAGACGGTGCAGGGGCTCCTCCTCCCTTCCCCTACAGCCCCGTCCCGGTCCGGCCTGGTGGGAGAACCTGCCTCGCCGGCCCGACTCGCTATAAGCTCGCTAGAGCGCGAGCGAGAGGCCGATACGCCGCCGTCCTCGACGCGACGAGGAAGCTGCGAACGCTATAGAGGCGCCCTTCCCCGGCGTCCAACGGGCGATAATGAGCGCTCGTAGTCGGGATTGGCGTTCCGGCGCCAATCCCAGCGGCGTTGCTCTCGACGCCTTTCCCGACGTCCCTCCCCCGTCCCGCGCGTTTCGACCCTCTCCGTCCGTCCTCCTTCGACCGCACCGCTCCGTCTCTCTCTCGGGCATCCCCACCACTCGCGCCGGCTATGCACCACGCTTCCGACGGTCTTCCCTCGATGTCGCTCCGTCTCGCGCGCTCCCCTCCTCTGTCTCCGTCCCGCGAGCCGGGCCAGCTCTCCCACCGCCGCCCGCCGTAGGGTGTTAACCGCGAGTACGCCCATTAACACCACCCCCCCGCGACGCCCGGCTCCGGGGGCGGGGGATCCACGGAGAGGGGGAAAACTGCGATCGACGTTGCTCGAAGCTTCGCTGCCGCCGAGAACCGTGTCGTGTCGATTGACACGCTGGATTTTTACCGGCGCTCTCGACTACCACCGAGACAACCCAACGATACCGTGCACGGCTGCTTGCTCGCTAGATTGAACGTCTTCCGTTGCCGGTGTCGCGGGACGAATCGCGCGGCATCGATTTTCGAACACCGGGTTCGTCGACTTTCCTGGATTCGTTTTGTCGGAACGTTTTCTCGAGCGTTCTGCCTCGAGCCGATAGACACCGCTCCGATGAACCGTGCTTTCTTCTCGCGGGGATTCTTGATGAGAGATAGACAGAGAGAGGGAGAGAGAGAGAGAGAGAAAGAGAGAGGGAGAGAGGGGGAGAGGAATTCGCAGTCGAGACGGTCGCGAGACCGCTCGTGAAATTGCGAGTCCGTTCCGGTCGTCCCGTGCAACCCGTCCGGATCGGCCGGTGCCGGCCGGATGCCGAAACCGCGCGGATTCGGCGCAACCGAGGCGCCTCGACATCCCGTTTTCTCCATTAATCCGGCACGGCACTTCATCAGTCATAATTCAAGCCGATTGGCCGTGTCGAGGGCCGTCCAAGTTTTCCGCGAAAAGCCGAGTGAGAAATTTTCGCGAGCTGTGCCAAAATTCGCGCTAGCCAGCGTCACGAGCATCACCGTTCCGCTCTCCCACCGCCGGCTTACCCCCCTGTCTCTCTGCCCCCCGGCCGGCCCCATCCCTAGGCCGCAGAACTCGGCGAGGAGTTGACCTGCGCGTTCCGCCGCGAAGGAGAAACCGCTGGCGCCGCCCACTCGGCCCCCACTCCCGCGCCGCGTTCCCACGTCCGCGGCTCACGTGACCACCCCCTCCGCTAATCCGCGTCACTCTCTTCGCGGAGTTCTCCCACCGGGCGCGCAGGTCTCGTCCCCAGCCCTCCGTTGGGAACCTACTCCACGGTTTTTCGACTCGCTCGCTCGCTCGCTCGTCGTGTGGCCCCCTCATCCTTCGCGCCATCGAGTGTTAGCGAGACGCCCAGCGCGTCACAGTGTTGCCAAATCCGCGAGAGCTTTTCCACCGGTGCGCCGCGTCGCGCCGCGCCGTCATTTCTAGAAACGGTACGCGCGAAACCCACGGAAGCGGACCCGATATACTCGGTGGTCTCATTCGCCGGTGAACCGGGCGCAACGGCGAATCAATTCCGAGATCGGATCTTCGCCGCGGGATTTTCCACGGCGGCGTTTTGTTATTCGAGCGTCCCGGCCCCGCGCAGATAAGGATATTTATTATCTCGGCAGACGGTCCCGGCCGATGAATAAAAGATGGACCGCGCGAGGCGGTCCTTGATTTTGCGCGAAAGCCCCTGTGTCCTCGTTAGAATATCAAGCACCGTTTCCTTGCGGAATTAGTACGTCGTTAGGAGCACAAGCTGCTTCCTTTTTCCCCGATTCCGTGCGCGCGGACGGACCGATCGTAAATCGTTCTTCGAGGTGTAGCGCTCGCTCGGATGCACTTTTTTTACGTTGCAACCGGTGAAATTAGTCGTCCCCGTCGATCTCGCTTCTGTGCACGTCGCTCGAGGACGTTCCTCGAGCACACCCGGTACACACGATTTTCGTCGCTAATTGCCCGGCGAACGTCGGAAACGCGGACGGTCTCTCCAAAGGAAGCTGCGGAACGAACGGGCGGGATCGATGACTTTTTTTTTGGAAAACGATCCGCGTGTTCGCCATCGATCGGCGAGGAGGAAGCGTTCCGCGATCGTTTCCATCGAATTCTGAGGCAGCTGCCGGGAATACTTTAAGGAAACACTTTAAGTACCGGGGAGTAGTAGGTCTATCGATTTTCTCCGCTCCTCGGAAATCCTTTCGTTCGCGAAACTGTCGACGATAATGGATCCGATCGATGGCGGATTCGCTGCGTCCACGGCACCATGCGAATTCGATCGAATTCGCTTCGTATTCGGCTTCGAATTCGTTTCAAATTCGCTTCGTATTCGGCTTCGAATTCGCTTCGAATTCGGCTTCCAATGCGCTTCGAATTCGGCTTCGAATTCGGTTCGAATGCGCTTCGAATTCGCTTCGAATACGTTTCGAATTCGCTTCGAATGCGCTTCGAATTCGCTTCGAATTCGCTTCGAATTCGGTTCGAATTCGATTCGAATGCGCTTCGAATTCACTTCGAATTCGGTTCGAATGCGCTTCGAATTCGCTTCGAATTCGGTTCGAATGCGCTTCGAATTCACTTCGAATTCACTTCGAATTCACTTCGAATTCACTTCGAATTCGCTTCGAATTCGGTTCGAATGCGCTTCGAATACGCTTCGAATTCGGTTTCGGATTCAGCTTCGAATTCGACTCGTATTTCGAACGCGGACTGCCGGCGTCTAATTTTCGCCTCGTTTTATTTCGTCCGTCAGCTTCCGCGAAAATATTGCCGCTCAACAAGTATCGAAGCAATCGCGCGGAGACTCCACAAATCTCCCGGGCTCTCTTTTCTGCCGAACATTCTAATCCCGATTCGAGCGTGCGTCGATAACGTAAACGTTATTCCATCGAATTACTCGGCAGATTGAAACAGGAGGATATATATATGTACATGGCTCCAACCGGCAAAATCTCATCGAACCAGCTGCGTCCGTGCGCTATATTTTTTCGTCCGTGTGTTCATTATACTAAANAAGCTGCGGAACGAACGGGCGGGATCGATGACTTTTTTTTTGGAAAACGATCCGCGTGTTCGCCATCGATCGGCGAGGAGGAAGCGTTCCGCGATCGTTTCCATCGAATTCTGAGGCAGCTGCCGGGAATACTTTAAGGAAACACTTTAAGTACCGGGGAGTAGTAGGTCTATCGATTTTCTCCGCTCCTCGGAAATCCTTTCGTTCGCGAAACTGTCGACGATAATGGATCCGATCGATGGCGGATTCGCTGCGTCCACGGCACCATGCGAATTCGATCGAATTCGCTTCGTATTCGGCTTCGAATTCGTTTCAAATTCGCTTCGTATTCGGCTTCGAATTCGCTTCGAATTCGGCTTCCAATGCGCTTCGAATTCGGCTTCGAATTCGGTTCGAATGCGCTTCGAATTCGCTTCGAATACGTTTCGAATTCGCTTCGAATGCGCTTCGAATTCGCTTCGAATTCGCTTCGAATTCGGTTCGAATTCGATTCGAATGCGCTTCGAATTCACTTCGAATTCGGTTCGAATGCGCTTCGAATTCGCTTCGAATTCGGTTCGAATGCGCTTCGAATTCACTTCGAATTCACTTCGAATTCACTTCGAATTCACTTCGAATTCGCTTCGAATTCGGTTCGAATGCGCTTCGAATACGCTTCGAATTCGGTTTCGGATTCAGCTTCGAATTCGACTCGTATTTCGAACGCGGACTGCCGGCGTCTAATTTTCGCCTCGTTTTATTTCGTCCGTCAGCTTCCGCGAAAATATTGCCGCTCAACAAGTATCGAAGCAATCGCGCGGAGACTCCACAAATCTCCCGGGCTCTCTTTTCTGCCGAACATTCTAATCCCGATTCGAGCGTGCGTCGATAACGTAAACGTTATTCCATCGAATTACTCGGCAGATTGAAACAGGAGGATATATATATGTACATGGCTCCAACCGGCAAAATCTCATCGAACCAGCTGCGTCCGTGCGCTATATTTTTTCGTCCGTGTGTTCATTATACTAAACGATTGAACCTGTTTTTGTACATAAATAAGTAAATCACCTCGAGCAGAATCGAACCTCTACGCGCCGGACTTCTGTCGTGAAATATGTAGCTTGTTCCATGAATTCGCGCGGTTTTAATTCCGATTCGTGCTTCTTTCATAATGATTACCCAACTGTTACGTCTCGTACGATAGTCTCACATTCGATTCCTTCTGTCCCGCGCATTGCTTGCAGCTGCATCCTAAGGTGATTAATCTGTCGGAAACCATGAAGTGTCGAGTTTACGAGAATGCGACACGTTTCGCTGTGAATCGCCTGTGTTCGTTCCTCGACGCTCCAAATTCTTTTTTCGAGGAATGAATCGCTTTATTTTACTTATTTATCATCGCCTACGCGGCTTAGGGTGACATCTGGCTTACGTGTTTTTGATATATTATGGTCGATATATATATATATATATATTGTGTATATTGTGTATTATTGTGATTATTGATATATTTTATTATATTATTATTGATATTATTGTGATATATATTGTGTATATTTATACTTATTGGTACGTATTCTATAATTTTTCTAAATTCAAGGATTAATGCTGATACTTCAAGGAATCACTTTATTACGAATTTAATCGCACTGCAACGTCAAATGATAGAAGAAGACCAAAGTCATCGTACGAGACATACCGTCATGCAAAATCCTCATGCAGGAAATATAAATCGCATTTAAAAGCGCACGAGCTTACGACCGACCCAATTCTGCAGTGATTTCTGCC